TGGAGACGTGTGCCTCCGTGGGGGCGAACGCTGTTTCCTGGAACTCGGGTGCGAGGCTCGGCATGCTTTTGCGATGTGTCCTCGCCTCAGGCAGCGGCTGCACGTGGTGTCTAGGAACCGACAGTTTGCTCGTGTGTGGTTCCCCAGACACCCTGGACACTCGAGGTCGTCCCGCTCATCTCGCCATGCTCGCTGCTTCTGGCTGGTAGCGGTGCGATGGACGGTCTCTTCCTCGCCGGCCTCGTCCGATTCGGTGGCCTCTGGATCGGGGGTTGGCTCGCGATGGGTGATCAATGGTGAAGGGCAATCACCCTTAATGGGTGATCAGGATATGCATAGGGGATTAAGGGGGGGGAATACAAAGAACACAACAGTACACAAACAATTAAACCACATGAATACAAACACAATAAATCCCAAATAAAAATACCAGCACCAAAACACTTCCTACAGTCTTTGCCACAAATACACCAATACTGAAATGTGTCAAAAATCCAAGCAACTAAACCTCTAAGTAATGGGCCAATTCTGTTGCTGTTGGGAGACTGCCAGTTAGGCTGGAAAGAGGGGGAAGGTCAAGCATGGGCTTTGCTTAGAGTCCTTGGCATCCTCAAAAGGTATAAGCTTCACACACACACACACACACACACCAAGATTCATGAAGCCTAATACGGTTGTTACCAGGGGAAGGCAAACAGTCTGGGGAGATTCTTATAACTTAGGCAGAGAACAATAAAGCTGTTTACTTTAGGTATTTATGAGTAGCTTTGATTGCCTGCACCTAATAGTTGCTCACATTTTTGGTGTTCTTTATTCTTAACTTGATTTGAATTGCATAGCCTTTAAGAATAATGACATTTTAAAAACAGGGCTGTGTTCTATGCAGTATGACACATGTCTAAGTTCACTGAAGAATGTTGTCAGCAGAAGTAGAATCAAATATGACATGTTTGTTTGTAGGTTTTTTTGAAATGCAACTTCCTCCTATGAGATATATTTTAAATCAAGTTTATCTAGACCTGGCACAAGTATCCTGGTAACCACTATATCATCATAATGAAATTTCAAAACCCTAAATTGCTGCTGCCAAGTCATAATTGTCCTGATTTTTATAGCCCAGACCTGCTGTCCCTGTGAAATTGCCCATGCAAGTTGGGAGCAGTAAGTCGCATAGGATGACCATTTTGGCTTTGGGTGCACTAACCATTTTAAGGTTTTGAAAGTGAGGCTAGAGCAGCTCCCACACAGAAGTTAATACATAGGAGGCAAATAATTGGTAAAATATTCGCTACCAAACTTGCATGGATTTAAAAAAGCTTAAAGCTTAACATTAATATATGGAGC